TGCTTCCAGAGCGGATTAGTGTTCATGGCTTTTATGCACTATAGAAGAAGACTTTGCAAACACCCTCAGAGGAACATCCCTCCGGGACAAAGTTTGCTTCCCACAAAGGACATCCCCAGTGAGCAGAGCATCCCGCCGTGCACGGCACTGCACGAGGGATATTTCCTTAGAGAGCCGCTGCCTGAGCCCTCCCTGCTGCTCCAGAGCAACATCCACGCTGCAGCCAGGGCCCCACAGCCACCAAACCCAGCATCCTGCTCCTCACCACACCCACAGACCAAGGGAGCTCAGACCTGCACCAAGACACCCAGCCAGGATGCGTGTGGTGAATCCTTCAAGGAGCTCTGCACGTGTTCTGAAGCATTTCCACAGCATCCACAGGAAAAACAGCTCCCACAAGGTGAGCATCCAAAATACCACAGTCACAACTGATCTCAGGGGTGTGAAGCCACCATGCAAACAGCAACCTCACTTTGCAGGCAAATCTACAGGTACAGAGTTGGCTGCAGTTGAGGGTTTACAGTGGATGCCAGGAGCTGGCTGGCAGTGAGTAACAAGAAATCATTAAAAGTTGACAGAGAAAAAACTTGCCAGGGGAAACCTGCACAGGCAACATGGGTACAGAGCCTGCCCTGAGCTACACAGCCATGCTGAGGAGGTATCATGCCAATCTCTACACAGAGCATTTCCAATGGGAGTCTCCTAAAAGGTTCACTGCGAGATTTAAAATTTCCTGTCCAGTTAAAAATCAAATCTCAACACTTAAACTCCAAATATCCTGCAGCATTTATGGCTCTGGCATAGGCTGCAAAGGGCAAAGAGAAGGGCTGCATAAACAGCGCATGGCTGGTCAGTCAGTCAAGATAAAAACAAACATTATGGATGAGAACTGAACAGTTTTCACCACTGGAAATGAAAAAAAACACATCAATTTAATTGGTAGGTTAAATTGTTTGCCTTCATCCCATTTGTACTTGTGACTCACCTAAAGTCATGAACCCTTGTTGGTTTTACAAATCCCTCAGTAAGTCCTGAGTCCCCTGGAGTCCCCACACTGGGCACCCGCACCTGCCTGCACCTTCCTGAAGCCTGATCCTCCACAGTTAAGCCCTACACATCCAACACCTGACACCAGGTTACAAAAGAGCTTTCTGCATGGCAGGTTTTGGGAAGTGAAACCATGCTGAAATCTAAAATCAGCAAAGAGAGAATATCAGACTTTGGCCAAGACACCCACCACCATGACGCACAGCACGTGGCCCACCTCCGAGCAGGGCGTGATGCTGGACACCTGCTGCCTGGGTGAGTGGCTGTGCTATTTGAGGCTGCCCTTCTCTTCCCACTCCAGCAGACTATTTCAAACCCCATTTATAATTGGAAAGAGGCAGTGTCTGTTTTTGCAGACCATGAGGTCAAAACTTTACTAATAACCACAGCACAGCAGAACACCATTAGCAGGTAAAAAAGCCCTGAGCTGGTCTCGGAAAAGCAGCTCTAGAGATGGTTTGTTCTGGCTTTTTTTCTTTCAATTAATTGTTTTGTCCTCCCAACACAGAGTGGGAAGACAAGCAGACTCTGCAATGCCTTACATTTTAATATCATATTATTCCCCACTAGAGGCAACGAGGACACCTTGCCAGACTTCCCCAGAACTCAACAACATCAGCAATTCAGGAGCACTGGGAGCTGTCTCCAGTCACTCACAGGGCATGACTGATGTTACAGGACTGGCAAACACAAAGCCTATATTTGAAAAATACAGGTATGGGAATAAGGAGGCAGCAATTTATAGAATAATCAGCTTAGCTTCAGTTGAAATGCTTAGAAGACAAGGAGAACTTCAGCAAGAGATAACCTTTGTTCATCAAGAACAAATCACATCAAATCTGTCATATTTCTTTCCGTGACAGGGTGTCAGGACTTGCAGGAAGGGGAGAAGAAACAAAGATTTCAGAGATCTCTGATGGTGTCTGATGGGACATGCCCATAACACAGCCAGGGATGCAGGGACTGGCCTGAGCTGCCAGAAGGTGGGACCACCACTGCTGGGAAGACCAGCTGTGAATGGGGCACTGCTCTTTGAGCACTGACTGGGGGGGCTCTACTGAAGCATCTTCCAGCGGAACCCATCCCAGATCCAACACCAATTGGTGCTTGCATCCACAACTTGGCTGACGGCAGAGAAAACAGGCTAACTGTCCTGTAAGGCTACACCAAGCTGAGAGGGACTGCAGGAATGCAGGAGGACAAGATCAGAATTCAAAACAATCCTGATAATTTAGAAGTTCAGTCTGGAAAAAAAAAAGACTCAGTTCAAGAAGGACAAGCGTGAGGTAATGCAATTTGGTAAGAATAATTAACCAGGCAAACACAAGATAAGGAATGAAAAGCAGGACAACATCTGGAGAGGAATAGTTGAAGGGTTGATGGGATGAAAAAATAAACATGAGTCACCTATGGCAAAAGTGAAAAGCACACACAGTGGGATGTATAAACGGGATCATTGTTTGTAAAAGGTATGAAGTAACACTTAGTCTTCAGCCCTTTATCCCAGGTTAAGCATCACCCCTCACCAAGGATGATGGTCCAGAAGAGAATAACAAGAGCAACTGCAGAGCAAGAATACATGACCTAAAAAAGAGTGATCAAAGGAACCAGTGTGGTTTAATCTGTATTAGTAAGGGAAATGGTAGCAACTTCCAAATATCTACTGGCCTGCTGCAAAGAAGGATAGAAGGAACTTTTCTGCCTGTTCCCAACAGACGGAAAAAAGAAGAGCAATCCTGAAAGTAAACTGAAGAAAAAGACATTTCTGTACAAATCATAAGAAAAACCTAATATGAGGGCTGCTAAATGTCAAACAGATTGTCTGGGGAGCTTAGGAGTCCCTGTCAGTGAAGGTTTTTAAGAACAAACAAGACAAACATCTGTCAGGAAGGGGTTGGTTATCAGCAATGCTGCGGAGGGCAGGAGATGGACTCAATGACCTCTCAAGGTCTTCTCCAGCTCTGTACTGAAGAAGGGCCTGATAAGTAAATGTCCACAATAGCTGGAAAGCTGCTGTGCTGACACAGCCCCCCGTGCTGGCCCGACCTGCTGTGGCCACGGCAGCTGACCATCTGTTGGTGCCAGAGGAACACACGCATCCCAGAGAGGGACAGGGGTACCCGGGGGGCTGCTCTGCCGCTTGCACGAGCCACAGGGAAAAGCTGCTTGTAAAAAAATAAAAGTGTGTCAAAGGACAACACAGCCCAGACAGCACAGAGTGCCTGGTGGGGTTGGCCACCCTGCTTCTGGAAGCAGGAGGAGCTGCTCAGAGCCCACACAGCACTGCACGCCGCTTTTGCTTTATTTATGAGAGGAAGCTGCAAGCAAAGCCTCTGCTCAGTGGTAACCACAGGGCAGTTCTCAGAGCATTCCTCTGCCCCTGCAAAACTACTGTGGTCTAGTACACCTGTCTGAAAGCAGCACACAAGAGCAACACCTGGCTATGCAAACATTTTGGCCAGTGATGAATAAACGTTTTGGCTAGTGGTGATAAAAATATCACCAGCAGAAGCAAAGCAATCCACTGGTACAGAACCAGCACCCCGGCATTGCAAACGCCCACCACACAAACCTCTGCAGGAGGCAGCTCTGGTGGGATTTAAATCACCTTAGCAGCACAATAGGAAAGCCTTCAGTGATGAATGAGGCAGAGGAAGTCAAGCAGCCACCTGTCAGACACCTGCAGCTGCCAGGACAAAATCCCAGGCACTCCGAGCCTGCTGCCAGGGAAGGGGCTGGGTGGGTTCATGTCATCCTGCTCATCAGAGCCAAAAAACCTTCCCCAAGAGCTACCCCAGCCCTGATGCTGGCCTTGCACTATGTGCAAACTGCACCTTGTGATGGTGCATGGTGTGCCACAGGACTGCAAATCCACCAAGTCACAGCTTCTGCTCAGCAGAAGCTGCTTCTCACCTGTGGCAGGGAGAGATGCTTCCATAGCAATGGGAGGAGAGAGTCAAGGCCTGGCTGGTCAGAGCACACACCTTTAATGACCTCTAAGAGTGCAGGAACTGGAAGAGCTGAGCAACCACCACAGGTGTAGGAGGTTACACACTCATACACAGTACAGACACAATTCAGAAGCGACTGTCAGAATTGTCCTCCAGGCTAGACTAAGTCCAGTGCACTGTTTGAGTGAGAGACTGGGTGGAGAAAAGCAACTATTGTGTTGTCAGGAAAAACCAGCAGCAAGCATCTCTGTAACACCTGCACAGGATTCCCCCGCAGACTCGCCGGGACAGGGCCCTGCACCTCTGCTCTGCAGCTGCCTCCTCAGTGCAAAGCCAGCACCAACACTCATGTGCTGAAGCCACAGCTGTCACACCTGTCCCACATCCACTGAAGTTACCAGACTCAGCATCGAGCCACAAGAGATGCATGCAGACAAGGCAGAGATGCTCAGATCTCCCCTTACCAGTTTGTCCAAAGAACCCCCAGCATTTGAGAGCTCCCTGCAGTTGCTGGCACTACCACGCAGATTTAACTCACCTGCCTCCCATTGCCCATGAAGGTTTTGGACATAAACACGGGGTGCAAAGAAGCACATCGCCAAAGCCAAGCCAAGCACTTGGCTTGGACAACAGCCCGCCCATCACCCCAGAGCCCCCCGACCGTCCGTGGGCAGCCCTGGACGAGCAGAGACCCCCGGATGGGGCACCTCCCGCCCAGCTGGGCACGGGCAGTCGCTCCAGGGGTTCCACAGGTCACGGTCCCGTGGGAACCAGGGAGTACCGCGGGGCCAGGGGCGCACAGCATCCCGCCGAGTCCGCACCCGCGGGGCTCCAGCAGGATCCTGCCCTTAGGGATCCACCAGCTCCCGCAGGATGCTCACCGGGGCTGGATCCCAACGCACCCCCGGGTCCAGCCGGGGCCGACTCGCGGAGTCCCCGCGCCCCCTCCCCGGCGGCGGGGCGGCGGCCGGGTCCCCGCGGAGGCGGCCGAGCCCCCCTTACCTTTGTGCCCGCCGAAGGCGCCGTACCAGGAGAGCGAGAGCAGCGCGCACAGGCAGCCGAGCAGCAGCGTGAGCGCCGTGCCGCTGCGGAGCCTCATCGCCGCCTCGCCGGCGGGGGCGGCCGCATGTCCCGGGCGCGGCGCGGCCTCGGCGGCCCCGGCGGAGCGGAGCGGGAGCGGAGCCGAGAGCGGGAGCGGAGCGGGAGCGGAGCGGGGCGCACCGCCCGCACCGCCCGCACGCAGCGCCCGCGCCGGGCCCGCCGGGCGGGCGGGGCGGGGCCGGGCGGGGCCGAGGGCGGGGCCGAAGGGCGGGGCCGAGGGCGGGGCGGCAGCGAGTGAAGGGCGCCCTCGTGCGGGGGAATGTGGGACTGCAGAGGGGCGGGGTGAGAGTGGGAGAGGGAGGGAGTGTGACTGAGTGTGACCGAGCGCAGGTGAGTGTGCCCGGATGTGCGCGAGTGTGCCCGGGCGTGCAAGACTGTGCCGGGGTGTGCGTGAGTGTGCAAGAGTGTGCCTGGGTGCGCCCGGGCGTGCGTGAGTGTGCCCGGGTGTGTCCGGGTGTGCAAGACTGTGCGCGAGTGTGCGTGAGTGTGGCCGGGTGTGCATGGGTGTTGCCGGGTGCACCCGAGTGTGAGTGCGTGCATGGCTGTGTCCATGTGTCGCTCTGTGTCCATATGTGTCTCTGTGTGTCCGTATGTCGCTCTGTGTGTGTCCGTATGTCTGTCTGTGTTGTTCACACGCCCCCAGGTCCGTCTGTCTGCAGAGTTTGGGCTGTGCCCGTTCCTGTGGCTGTGCCAGGGTGCTGCACACCCCGCACAGCCCTGCCCGTGAACCCCGGGAGTGTCCCGGTCCCTGCGGTGTCACGGGTGGTGCCCCCGTGTGCTCACCCTGGGCTCAGGGATGTCCCCTGTGCTGTGCTCACCCCGGGCTCAGGGATGTCCCCTGTGCTGTGCTCAGCTGGGGTGCAGGATGAGGAGCCATCCTGGCAGAGCATCCTTGCTGCCATTCCCACCGAAGTGTTTCATCTTGGTGAAGGAAACAGCATCCAATGTGTATTGAGAGAAAATCAATGCCAGAACAGATCACAAACGGAAGCTGCTGCCTGGAAGGATGCTATCCCTCTTCCAAAGCACCTGGCATTCAGGGGTTATGACCTCAAGCTGCTTGCCTGGGTGAAGGACAGAACAAATCAGATCGCAAAATTTTGCTTCTGTTTTCTTCTGTTAATAGGTCCAGCTTATTTCATTATAGACTGTACTGCGAGGTCAGGCTCCACAGGCATTTATTTGCCTTCATCATCGGAACGTGTTTCGGTGAGTGGGCACGAGGTCAGGCAGCTCAGGTGCCCTGTACATGGGTACATAATTCCTGAACCAGCGAAAGCTGTCATCTCCAATTCCCCAGAGCTCTTTTAGCAAGAAAATATTTCCCTGACATGTAAACATTGAGGGACTGGCTTGCAGTGACCAAAGTCTGCTGCTTGAAATGTCCGGATCAGTGAGGGTGCAGCGTACAGCGAGGCTGTGCCTGCACTCGGCAATGCTCGGACACCACCCCGGAGCCATCCCGGGTGAGAGGCAGGGAGGAGCCGGGAGCCAGCTGCTCCCAGAAACACTGCAGCGGACATGGGATTCTCCTGAACAGGAAAATCTGCCAAATGGGGCCTCAGGCATCCACTCTGTTTCCTTCCGGGAAGGTGAGCAAGAGTGTGCCCAGGTGTGCCTGGGTGCGCAAGAGTGTGCCCGGGTGTGTGTGGATGTGCAAGAGTGTGCCTGAGTGTGCCCGGGTGTGCAGCTGCTCCCAGCAACACTGCAGCAGACATGGGAATTCTCCTGAAGAGGAAAATCTGCCAAATGGGGCCTCAGGCATCCACTCTGTTTCCTTCCGGGAAGGTGAGCAGTGAAGGGAGCCCAGCACTCAGGAAGGGGCAGGGGCCGCCTCGAGGTGCTCTGGGTGCCTCCTTTAGGAGGAAAAGCACAGGTCACCCATTGCAGTCTTGCCTAAATGCATCCTTAGAATATCCTTCAGTTCATGAACTAAAGCACATTTTTCAAATCTTGAAATGGCCTCTGCCGGCGGTTCGAAAATCCGGGAGGGAAATCGGCAGAGGGAGCCCTTTGGACGGCATCAAAAGTTTCTGCCTCCCTCCTCTGCCAGAGCCGGGGAGGAGCTACAGGGCCGAGCACGAACCACATCCCCGAGCAGGGAAATGCCCTGGGCAGGGAAATACCCCGAGCAGAACTGTCGGGAACCTGAAAAAACCCCTTGGGGCGAGACCTGGACCTGTGCATCCTGACCCGGATTTTACAAAGCGTTGCCCAAGCAACCTCCATCAGAACGTGAGCCAGCAGCAGCTCCACGGGAATTAATGGCAGCCTCGTCCCCAAAGGTGGCAGACAAGTAAGAGCTGCTGGTGGGGAAACGTTGTACTCCATTAAATGTTGGTTGTTTTGTTTCAGAGGTGCAAAATGCCCCCACCACTCAGGAAAGCTGTCTGCAGTGGAAGAGAAGAGAGGAACATTAATAATTTCTCCAAGACAATTAATTAGACTCTTTCCCAAGGATAAAGTTTAATCTAATTTCTGCTGTTATACTTTGTCTTCATAAAAGTCTGAAGAAATTAATGAGCTTTATAGCACCCTCTCATGACAAAAACCTTGGGTTCTCTTGGACAAAATGAGGGATTAAGCCAAATTGTAGCACCTGCCATTTTTCTCTCAGATCTGCAAAGGTCTCTTTTATTCTTGACGTCCATTCCTCTTTTCCCAGTTTTGTCTTTTAATCTGTTTTTAAAGTTTTGAGCAAGTTTTGAACTTTGGTCCTTTTGCAGTGCAAAGATTAAAATGTGAACTGCAGAGAACCAAACCCCCAGCAAATGGCAAATGCAGAGAAAAGGGGTTGTTTTTTTTAAGGTGTTTCATGATCTTTGTACAGCTGATGTTGGCAATGCTGAGCATGCTGCAGAAATTAGAGGCTTTCATGGGAAACACTCCCATAGCAATCCACAGGTCCTGAGGCCGTTACAAAAATTAGAAGGAGAAAACATTTATTAGGTCTAGGAATAAAATGTAATCCAGATTTATAGCTGATTTTATCTAGTGCTGTAAAGAGCTTGGCTCTGGAGTTTGGCCCATCTTTAGGCTTGATCCTTCCCAGGCTGCTTTATGCAAGAAACAAAATAATTTCATTTTCTATGTGTTTTATAGGCTGCTGTGTTCTAACATCATGATGGCTTGCTTCACTGCAATATAAATGTTTCCAAATCTCCTTAACCATGAGAGAGGAAAATGACAACAGGGTGCTTTACCTTCAAAGTCGACATATTGATGCTTTAACTCAGGGCAAAAGCTACAAGTCAGATTCCCAAAGCAGCACTTGCCCCAAGCAATTCACATAGGTTGCAAAAAACTTTCTCACTCCCAGGAACATAAAATCCTTATGGAGCTGCATGACACCCCTAAGTGTGCTTGTATTTTGTGCCTGCTCTCCACCCATTCTTCCTTTCTGCTCCTGTGCCTCAGTGAAAAAACTGTGCCAGAGTTTTCTGCCTTTAACAGTTCCACACCACAGCAACGAGGAGCTGCTGAGCCTGTGTAAACACCTGACGTGGCACAGCCAAACTTCAGGAAAGCTCAGCCTCAAAAATGAGACAGCAAAAAACTCCCTGCTCAGCTTTCTGCTCTGCCTGTGCCAATGAGGAAGGAGGGTTCTGCTTCCGAGGCATGAACAGGCTTTTCACTGGGCTAGAGGAGGAAAGCAGAGGTCATGGGACCGGGCTGAGTCACCAGTGTCTGACCCAATGTGTCTGGAAGGTCCTGCACCTCTCCAGAAGCCTCTGGAAGGAGCGTGTGGGATTGCTGTGTGTGGATGGGGCATTGATGCAGCCCAGAGAGCTGTGCATGGTCCCTCCATCCCCACACACTGTCCTGCCAGAGCCGGGGGACACAGGGGCCAAACCCTCCCCTCCTCACCAGGAGCGCTGGGACAGTGCTGGGAGCCTCAGGATGGAGCAATGATTTGGGGGAAAATTTCCTCTGGAAAATTTCCCCATCAGCCTCTGCTGTGGTTAGCAAGGAAAAGATTGGACATTTCCCCTCCTCCACCTCCTCCACCCCACCTTCTTCCCCCAAGGCTTTATTGCAAACATAAGAAGTTTGGACAGAAGGAGTATTTCTGCTAGTTATGCCCTCAGAACAAAAACCTCACCAAATATTTTTAAAACATTTCCCAGCAGAAGTGGGTGTAGAGAGAAAGCAGAGCACTGAAGGAATGCTAATTGCTCCTTTTTAAGCCTTTCCTCTCTAACTTGAATTTTTAAACTCCAACAGCTTTTTTCCCTGTTCCCTTTGCTGTTCCTTTGCTACATCCATCTGTGAAGCTGACTGCTCAGCACCCCGGGCCAACAAGGCACTTTTTTGGGCAGGGGGTTGCTGTGCTGCTGTGGGGTTCCTAAGGAATCATAAGAAAATATCCACACAGCCACTGCTTCATGCTGAGAATCCCAAAATCCAGATCCCCTTACAAACAGAAGGAAAAACTACTCAAGTGGATGTGGGAACAGAGCACAGCTCCTCACATGGCTTCTCCAGGGGGCTGAGGAACCGGGCGGGGCTGGGGGTAATGGGGAGAGCAGGTCTGAGCTGGGGAAAGGCTTGCTGGGAGGAAATCCCCGACCTCGAGGAGGAGGAGGAGACTCACTGAGTCACCCCCGTCCCGTGATCGGTGAGGTAAGCCAACAACAGACTGGTGAAAGCCTGTTTGCCTTATTTTTTGTAAAAGTGCATGATGTCACACCCTGAAGGCTGAGCGTGACTCAGCATGTCCCACCAGGAGAATGGATTGAAGTGGACACAAGGGAAAACTCACATTTCTGATTTTACTTTAGTGCATTGCTTGATAAATGCAATGATCAATTAGCCTGGAGACAGAACTGATGTAAAAAGATGTAAAAAGCAACTTGAGGACAACCCCCCCGTGCCTCAAATACCCCTCAAACACAGGCAGGGATGGAGAAGGGAATAGGAATTGGAGCTGTCTGGGACAGCCTGGAACCTAAGGAATGGATGTGCTGGAGCTGGGTCTCAACATTCAGTCTCTGGCTTTATAGATGGATGAAGGTGACCCTCGGGGTCCTCAGAAGCAGGACA